CATCCCTAGGAAGATCCAGATGATCTGGCTGGCGAGATCGGTGTCCCCTCACCACCGCACATGTGGCCTTCCAGAAGCTGCACCCTCAGAGGAAGAGGGTGGCCTTTTCCAAACAGAGAGAAATATTCTGTGGTCAAGGGTACATATGCAATCCTGCTAGATGCACCTTCCTCCACCACCCGGCCCCAGACCTCACCAGAAGGGTGCTGGCCATGGCACACACCACGGTGAAAAAAATGATGTGCCAGTCAGGAAGTGAGCCTACAAGCACTGCAATGAAGGAGTGCAAAACACATTGAAAACCACTGATGTGTGATCCCTGGGAGGTCAGGGAACACACACACACACACACACACACACACACACACACACACACACATACACACTCACACACATACACACACACTCACACACTCACACACGAAAACTAGGTGAGATGATCCCAGGCACTGCAGGGAGCAACACTGTTCCACACTCTTTCCCCCAAAAGCAAAACCAGAAAGTGTGAACACCAGTCAGGCAGGAGTATCTATGCAGCCTCTATAAGACTGATGCCAGACAAAGAGCAAGAAGAAATTCAAATATATCTAGGGCCAGAGCGATAGCACAGTGGGTAGGACATTTGCCTTGCATGTGGCCAACCCGAATTCAATCCCTGGCATCCCATATGGTACCCCGAGAACTGCCAGGAATAATCCCTGAGTATAGAGTCAGGAGTAACCCCTGAGGATCACTGTGTGTGACCCAAAAAGCAAAAACCAAAAAAAAAAATAGAGAGAAATATATCTATATACATATCACTAAGAGCTTAATGAATCGGAATTAGCAAAAATGAGAGTGTCCTGGCAGCTGTCTCATCTTGCTTCCAAGCACGATCCAAAGAGCCTTCAGCCTGAAGACAGGACATTCCACATACTCCTCAGCCCTCTCCAGTGCCCTTGGTGGACCACAAGGGAATAGGGACACCCTAGGCCTCCAAGGCCTAGCCCTGCTTCTCATTGTCACCTGACCAGAGGGGACACAGCCACAAAGGAGGTGTCCGAGATGCAGCCAGCACCCTCCTTCCTGGTTCCCTTGCCTGGCTTCTAAGGGCCTGTCTCCAGCCCCATCTCGTCCTGGTGGCCCTAAGTCTTCCCACTTGGGAGTGATGAGGTCAGGAAGGTGGAGGTGGGAGGGGGCCTTGGGGAGTTCAGCTGTACAGGATCAAGGGAGAGTCCTTCAGTTCCTTAGTGGGCACATAGCTTGCACACAGGCTGACACAGGTTCAGTCCTCAGCCCCTTATACAATCCACGCACCTCCTGATGTGGCCGAAAACAAAAAACCCTCAGATTCCTCTGAGGTACTCTGGGTTTTGGCAACAAAATGGTGATTTCTGGTATCCCAAGTTAGCCCTTTGGCAAAAGCTCCCATTTCACAAGCCTGGGGCCAGTTAGGTCAAGAATTCATTCCCCCCCACCCAAAAAAAAATTCATTCCCCAATAACTGCTCACCTTGGCCTACTGCAACCTCTGGAGATGTTTGGGATTCCTAATGCTATAAAGTCACAATCTCCAACACAACACAACCAAGCCTTCAAAAGCACTGGTGGGTGAGCAATGGCCTGAGAGCGTCACTAAGTACCATTTCTATAGAGAATAAAACAAACCAGCAGGAAATAAAGGGAGCTGAGTGCAAACTCTATGAGGCTCAGAAAGTATCCTGGACATACTCATCCCAATGGCCATTGAATTGTGTCAAAGAACCATTGCATGGACAGAGACATACTTTATGCAGAGAAAAATGTGCATCAAAGCTTTCATATAACAACTCAGCAATTAGTGAGACAACCAGTTAAGGTAAATTGGTTCCAAGAACTTACACAGATCATTAAAAATACCAAAAGAATGCTAAATTTGCCTGGATTGATGAATGAAACAATATTACTCCCCCATCCGCCATTGTTTTTCAATGTCTCAGAGCAACTGTGGCACTGTCCTTCCAATAACTCCCAATAACTGCTCACCTTGGCCTAATTGTTCATCAATTAGCTTGAGTGTTCATCGTTCATTGATTAGCTCGAGTGGGCCCAGTAGCATCTCCATTGTGAGACTTGTTACTGTGTTTGGCATATCGAATATGTAATGTGGGTGAGATACTCTTGGTAGCTTGCTGGGCTGTCTGAGATGGGAGGAGGAATTGAGCCCAGATCAGCCAGATCAGCCAGGTCGGCTGCGTGCAACGCAAACGCTCTACCCAGTGGGTTATCACTTCAGCCCATGTAAAGGAAACACTATGTTCTGTTCTGCTTTATTTTTTTTGGTATTTGAGTTTGGGGAGGCCACGTCCAGAGCTGCACAGGGTTTACTCCTAGCTCTGCACTCAGGGAATCACTCCTGGCAGAGTTCCCGGGACCATAGGAGATTCCGGGGATCAAACCCGGGTCACCCGCATCCAGGGCAAGCGCCTTTGCCCTCTGAATGGTTTATGTTTGGGAAAACAAGTAAGTCCTTAGCAATCAAGTTTCAGAGGGAAGAGAAAGATGAGGGTGGAAAGCTAGGAGCCCAAGATGGCCCACCCAAAGCTGTTCTCCTGCCCTTTGCACCATCTCCCTGGTGCAGGTCTGAGTTCCCTCTACATGTCAAACAAGCACTTTACTTCTAACTCACATATCGGAGCAGAAAGGCTATTGTCTTGCAAGCCAAGATAGTTTTTATTAAAGGAATTTACTTAGAAAGATGTAAGGAGAAGGGAATGTATTCAAGAGAGAGGAAGGACTTGAAAAGCAAGTCAAGGGGATGTATGTTCACGAGAACATGGGCTTGAAAGAGAAAGCCCTGTGCAACATTTCCTCAGTTTCCATATTCACAGGAAAGGACGCTGTCTCCTTGAAACCAACAAGAAGTCTAAATATGCTTCCTCTACTTCCTGCATAAATCAGAAACATTATTTTTAGAAATTTGAATAAAATCAGCCATGCACTTACTTAGTCATGCGTTTTGTTTTGGGGGCCACCCCCAGTGGTGCTCAGGACTTCCTTTTAGCTCTTTGTGCTGGGATCACTCCTGGCAGGCTCGGGAGAACAGATGGGGTGCTGGGGATGGAACCCAGGTTGACTGCATATAGGGCAAAGGTTTTACCTGCTGGACTATGGCCCCGGCCCTATGGAGCCATGCTTACCCAGTGTTTTAGGCAGTCACATTCAAAACAGAATTTGCTTCTTGTTTTTTTTCTTCATTTATTTGATTTTGGGGCCATACGTGGGTGTGCTCAGAAATCCCTGCAGGCATGCTCAGGAGACCAAATGTGGCAAACTCTGGTAGGCCACATGCCAACTAAGAGCCTTAAGCTCTTTACTATGCCAGCCTTAGCCTTACACCCTATACTATCTGCCCAGCCTTAGCCTTACACCCTATACTATCTCTCCTAGCTCTAGAACTTACTTTTTCATATTACTGTTTTGAAATAAGGATCCAGGTGTTTTTTTTTGGGAAGGGGAGGGGTGGTCAGTGGTGCGGGCACACCCAGCAGTGCTCAGGGTTTACTCCTAGCTGAGCTCAGGGCACCATATGAGGTACTAGGAATCAAAGCCAGGTCAGTCGCAGGTTAAGCAAGAACCCTGCCTGCTATATTATCTCTCTCAACACTTGAGGATCCGGATCCCTACCTCTGTCACTTGAGGGAAATTCAATCACCTCTGACCCTCAAATTCTACATGATGAAGGGCTGTTAAAAATATGAGAGTAAGCATAAAGCCCCTTCTTAAACTCTGTCCTCAGCACCGAGACTCTGGTGGACAAGGCTGTTCAAAACAATTTTCAGAATTATCAGATTGAAAAAAAAAAGTAAATACAAGACACTCTCACAATGGATCGTTTCCAAATAGCCAATTTTCAGGCTGTAAGGAACCTAATTTCCCTTGTAATTTCAAAAAAAATTGAATACATAAAAATAATTTTCAGGGTTGGCGCAATAGTACAGCAGCAGGGCACTTGCCTTGCAGGTGGTGACTCAGTTTCAATCCCCAGCACCCCGCCTGGTCCCCCGAATCCTGCCAGCAGTGATCTGAAAGCGGGGCCAAAAGTAAGCCCTGAGCACTTGGGTGTGGTCCCCAAACACATGCAATAATGGTTAAAATCTCTTCTAACAATTCTTTCCCTGATATACTGTACTCTCCTCCAATTGAAATGATAACCATTAGGAATCGTAACATTGTCCCTAGTGGGATGGCTGGCTTGTGGCAGTGGCATATCCCTATTTCATAGGTCACTATGATGTGCTCCTCAAAACTAAATTCCTGATTATAACCAATTCTGTCTGCAGAAATATCTTGCGTCCTTAACTTAATCCTAAGGGTCAAAGACTGGATCGCTTGTCTAATTTCTTCATTTCACAGTGCATTTGCATTTCTTGCTCTAAATTGTGTAGGTCCTTCAGTTCTTGTCATTCATGACTCAGCTTTCATGGAACAACCACTAAACGGTGTTGAAAGTCGCCTAAGTGCAGAAAGGAACTAAGCCTGGAGAATAAAGCTGCTTCCAGACAACACGAGTTTATTCAGGATTACATCTAAACTGGGGGGAAGGGGGAGAAAGTTAAAATAAGATGGCTGGGGCCAGAGTAACATTACACCAGGTAGGGCGTTTGCCTCGCACGCAGCCGACCCGGGTTCAATCTCCAGCATCCCATATTGGTCCCCCAAGAGTAATTCCTCAGTGCAGAGCCAGGAGGAACCCCTGAGCATCACCGGGTGACCCAAAAATAAATAAATAAATAAATAAATAAATAACACTCCTCCATTTATTAAAATAATAATAACAACAATGCTTAGGTGTAAATATAAAACCAGTTATTTTTTCCTCAGGGCAAGAAAAAAGCAACAACTTTAGGAACTTCTGGTCCACCAGATAACCCTCAAGTATTGGTATTGGACTGTTCTGAAGTGTCAGGAATGTTTTATTGGATTGCTTAACAGAAACTCTTCAGCCAGGCCAAGCCACGGATCCTCTGGCCGTCTTGGGTTTCACATCAGGAAAAGTGGCTGGGTGACGGGCACAGCATCTGCTGAGACAGGCGGGGGGCAGATTCTGAGCGAGTCGGAGGTGGAGCATCCGTTTGGAACACAAAGAGAAAAGACAGGCCTGACCGTGCCCCGGAAGACAAGATTTGAGAAACTATAAATGAGGTGTCCCTCTGTGACATCGTAGAATGACAGATGCCCGTATTCATAGTAGAGGAAGACCCCGACTATGCCCATGTGCTCTCGCAGAGAGACTCTTTTCAAAGGGGGCGCGACCCAGAAGGTGCAATGGTTCCCCATTATGGACCTTGTGAGCAGAATTTTACACTCAGACGCGTCAGGCCTGTCTGCCCTTGTGTGTGCGTTGATGCAGATGCCCAGCTGCCATGTGTCTGCCTTCCCCACCTCCACCTCCCAGTAGTGCCACCCTGAGGTAAAGCCCTCCACTCCCAACACCGTGGCACTGAAGTCAAACTTCCTGGGGTTGGCGGGTGTGGCCTGCTGGGCGGCTCTGAACCTCACACTTCTCAGGTCCTCAGACAAGACCAGACAGGGGTGAACTGTCTTAGGGTCCAAAGTTATATGTCCTGCGGAGAGGAAAAACAACAATTCAGTTTAACATAGGGGTTCAATAATGCCCACACCAGAAACCAGTGGTTTCCAGTATACAGTGGGGGTTCCCCATGGAGTGGATATGAGGAACAGACATGGGAGAGAAAACTTGAGAAACATGGAAAAGAGGGCTGGAGTGACAGTACAGCAGGTTAGGGCATTTGCCTTGCACGGAGCCGACCCAGGTTTGATCTCCTGAACACAGTCAGGATTAATTCCTGACAGCAAAGCCAGAAGTAACTCCTGTGGATCACAGGGTGTGACCCCAAAATCCCTCCTGCCCCCCAATAAGGAAAAGAAATTTCTAGGAAGCCTTTTTTTTTCTTTGTGGGTCACACCTGGCGATGCACAGGGGTTACTCCTGGCTCTGCACTCAGAAATCACTCCTGGCGGTGCTCAGGGGACCATATGGGATGCTGGGAATTGAACCTGGGTCGGCTGCATGCAAGGCAAACACCCTACCCACTGTGCTCTCTCTCCAGCCCCGGAAGCCTTTTTTGAAGAAATGAATCTCACAAAGCAGAGATTTCCAAATGACTGGCACACGGCCTATTCCTTAGGAGGGAAGGAAAAAATATTAGCCAGTGTCCCACTTAGAAATTTACCCTCTGAACATGAAATCTTTGCTGCAACCACAGAAACTGTGTAATGTGCCTGTCAAGCTGACAGGCGGGAATATGGTACGGGTTGGGGGAGGGAGGGAATATGGGGACACTGGTGGAGGGAAGCTGACACTGGTTGGGGAACTGATGTTGAAATATTGTATGTCTAAAACTCAACTGTCAATATCTTTGTAAACCATTGTTCTTTAATAAAAAATTAAAGAAAGAAAACCACCTTCTGTAAGTAAGTGAAAAATCTGTGAGAACCCCTGCCCACCTTCCCCAGGCCCAATGCCAGGGGTGTGTGTGGGGGAATATTCTGTGCTGGCATGCACTATTCAGAGGAACTGACTCAATATGACGATGCAAGGAGCTGCAAAGTGAAGAAGACGACAAAGGACAATGGACTAGGAACAGTACGAGTACTTTCAACCCCCAAAAGAATGCTCCCAGGACACTGTAAAAGCTGTCTGCTGTCTCACCCTCCCCAAATTCCCAGACGCCCGCTGAGTCCAGTGTGAGTCCCTAAAGAACTTCTCCAAGCCAGTCAAAGTGAGAAGCACCTGTCTCCGAGGGCAAAGCTGGCTCTCCACTCTTCCCCATGACTAAACTGTTCTCATCCTAAATGCCACCAGAGCCTACCACAGATGCTGCGTAATGGCTGCCAGCAGGCCCTGGGCATGGAGTGATTCACAAGAAAAGCAGATTAATAGCAGAGGCAGAAAACCTCTGAAGCATCTTCCTGAAAGTCAAGCGTGAGAGTCAGAAAAATGGGTCAGCAGGCTGAGAGAGGGAGACCTGAGTTTCTCTGCCAGCACTTCGGAGTGTCGACCTAAAACTAAAATATATATAAAACTGTAATATATATTAATCAATCTAGGGGCTGGAGCAATAGCATAGCAGGTAGGGCATTTGCCTTGCACGTGGCCGAACTTGGTTCGATTCCCAGCAACCCATATGTCACCTGAGCACCACTGGGGGTAATTACTGAGTGCAAAGCCAGGAATAACCCCTGTGCATCGCCAGGTGTGACAAAAAAATATATAGATCAATATAAAGTAAGGAAGCTTGATGAAAGTAAGATTTATCTATTTCTTTTCTCATGTCTTTCCACCCAGTAGCAATTATGATTTCTCAGCGTTTGGTCCTGGTCATTAATTTTACTACTTGTATTCCTTTTCTGCACTTGGTGGCTTGATCAAGCTTCAGTTTTATTTTAACTTTTTGGTGGTGGTAGAAGGGGTGGGGGTAGGATGGTTACAACACATCCATCACTGGGCATCCTGGCTGGCAGGGGACCATATGGTGGTGGAATCAAACCCAGGCATGATAGCACCTTACCCCCTATACTATCTCCCTGGCCCCCGAACCACAATTTTAAGCATCTCTCACAGGTCCATGACTTACGTAAACAAGCTGCCCCTGGGGTTGACGTGATGGCACAGCAGACAAGGCACTAATCTTGACACAGCTCACCTGGCTTCTATCCCCTGAACATTCACCAGGAATTATCCCGGAGTGCAGAGCCAGTAGTAACCCCTGAGCACTGTCAGTTGTGGCCCCCAAATAAACAAAAAATAGCAACAACAACAACAAAAGTTCCCTGCCACAAATATTTCTACCTTTTCAGAACATCACTTACTGCTTTAGCTAACAAGTACCAGAACTGGAGGAGGCCTTTACTTCTTATTTTACTACCTAATCCAACAGCAAGTTGCATTGTCAAATTTAAATTTCTAGGCTCATAGTCTCATTCCCATCATAAGGCAGAATTAATAGCCATAAACCTTAAATTTTAAACTTCACATGACCCAGGTTCTGAGTATTTCCATAGGATTCGCAAGATAAAAGTGAGTTCTCTGGGTGTGGGGTCGGGACGTTTGCCGGGGACACAGACCTTCTTTCTGGATCCTTGATAATTTCTGACAATAGTCTAGGAAAAATGGGAGGCTTATTGAGTTTTAAACATATACATAAACCCACAAAGGAAGCACTATTCGAGTGAGATTAACAGGACTGTAGATGTAGTGTACTTGCTAAAGAATTAAATAAGTTATCCACAATCAATAAAATAACTTGAATGAAACTTTTTGTTCTGTTTAGGGGCCATATTTGGCAGTGCTCAGGGCTTACTCCTGACTCTGTACTCAGGGATCACCTCTGGCTGGCTCTGGGGACCACATGGGGTGCCAGGGAGCAAACCCAGATTGGCCACGAGCCCTACCCACAATACTATTGCCCCGGCCCAGTGCTTAATAAGAAAAGAATAATGGGTGATTATAAGGAAAGAAAATGAGATCATTCTTTTCAACATAGATTAAAAAATTTTTTTCACAGAATATTAGCATATTGAATCTAACCATATACAAAACGAAAATACAAAAGAAGGTGACATGATTAAATAGGGGGAAAAAAAGCAATTCATGGAGGTAGAAAGAGTACAGGGGGGCCTGAGATCCTCACCATAAGAGCTGCCAACCCTGGTTGATCCTTACCACCGCATATGGTCCAAAGATGGCCCCAAGCACTACCAGGCTTCACAGCCTTGCTGAGTACTGCTGGGTGTGTTCCAAACCCCACCCAAAAGCAATTATTATTGCAGTAAGAAGATAAGGGGGTGGGGTTGTGGTGGGGTTGTAGCTCACACTTAGAGCTCCTGCCTGGCATGGGACCCCTAGTTACCAGTATTATGGCAGACACAATCAATGTATTTAAAGCGCTAGAGAACTAGGCCAGCGGGATAAGGTACTGACCTTATGGCAGAGGCACTTCTGAGCACAGAGCCAGGAATAGTGCCTGAATACCACTGGATGTAGTCCAGTCACTCCACCTCCCAGAAGAAAACGTATTTAAAAAGTCAACAGCCATCCATGATAAATTATAAACACCAGGATATAAACACCAGGATGGAGGACACATCCCCAATATGATGGAAGACAACTGTGAAAAGCCTATGACATCAAACTAAAAGTAAAAAACTGAATGCGGGGCTGGAGCGATAGCACAGTGGGTAGGATGTTTGCCTTACACACGACCAACCCAGGTTCCACTCCCAGCATCCCCTATGATCCCCCAAGCACCACCAGGGGTAATTCTTGAGTGCATGAGTCGGGAGCTCCCCCTCTGCATCGCTGGGTTTGACCCAAAAAAGAAAAAAAAAAGGAATGCTATCAAGAACTAGGCAAAAATCAAAAACATATCGAAGAACTTATACAGAACACAATAAGGTGAGAGGTGGGGGAAAATCACAGAAAAACCTTATAGCTCAGAAAGGAAGAAACAAAATCATCTTATATGCACAGATAACTACTTTTGTAGGAAAGTACCAAAAAAGAAAAATCCATAAGAAAGTCACTAGCCATACAAAGCACTGGTTGAACTCTACAAGAAGAAAACATCTAACCCCAACAAAAAATGGGGAGAAGAAATGAACAGAAATTTTCCCAAAGAAGAAATCCAAATGGCTAAAAGGCACATGAGAAAATGCTCTACATCACTAATCATCAGGGAGATGCAGATCAAAACAACAATGAGATATCATCTCATACCACAGAGACTGGCCCACATCCAAAAGAACAAAAGCAACTGGTGTTGGTGTGGATGTAGTGAGAAAGGGACCCTCCTCCACTGCTGGTGGGAATGCTGACTGGTTCAGCCCTTTTGGAAAACAGTATGGACGATTCTCAAAAAATTAGAAATTGAGCTCCCATTTGACCCAGCTATACCACTACTGGGAATATATCCCGGCGAGGCAAAAAAGTACAGTCGAAATGACATCTGCACCTCTATGTTCACTGCTGCACTCACAATAGCCAAAACCTGGAAAAAACCCAAGTGCCCAAAACAGTTGACTGGTTAAAAAAAACTTTGGTATATCTACACAATGGAGTACTATGCAGCTGTTAGAAAAGATGAAATCATGAAATTTATATACAGGTGGTACTACATGGAAAGTATCATGCTAAGCGAAATGAGTCAGAAAGAGAGGGACAGACATAGAAAGATCGCATTCATCTGGGGAATATAAAGTAACAAATTGGGAGACTAGCACCCAAGTATAGTTGAGATAAGTACCAGGAAGTTCACTCCATGGCTTGGAGGCTAGCCGCACATGCTGAGGGAGAAGGCAGCTCAGATAGAGAGGGGAGCACCAAGTAAAGGGTGTTGGGAGGACCCTCCCAGGATGAGAGATGCATGCTGAAAATAGACTATAGACCGAACATGATAGCCACTCAATACCTCTTTTGCAAACCACAGCACTCAAAAGGAGAGAGAGAACAAAAGGGAAGGCCCTGCCACAGGGGTGGGGTGGGATGGGGGTTGGGGGTGGGTGGGAGTGATGCTGGGAGCATTGGAGGTGGGGAATGGGCACTGGTGGAGGGATGGGTACTCAATCATTATATAACTGAAACCCAAGCACGAAAATTTGTAAGTCTAAAACTGTACCTCATGGTGTTTCACTAATAAAAAATTTTTTTAAAAAGTCACAAGCTCTCAAAAATGAGTTTATAATATACACATAGTTTGAATACACTAACTGTAAATTGAAAATGACTATAATTTCAATTACAAATTTGTATTTTAAAATGCCATTGAGTGACAAAAAGACGGTGCTGGGGTTAAGGCATTTGCCTTACATCCCACAGACCCTGGTTCAAATCACCCGCACCCATAAGGTTCCAAGTACCATTGGGTTTTGACTGAGCACAGAGCCGGGTATAACTCCCAAAACTAAAATAATGTTCAATTGAAAGGTCTAATGTTAAAATACTGGGAGCTCTGCCTTGAAGCCCCCACATAGCACTCATGTTTTCTCTACTTTCTCTCCTTAAACACTTCAATGCCAGCAGGGGACTGCTTCCTTTCCCTTCTTAAGTGCTGAATTTAAATAAAATTAGGATCAGTCGTGTTAAATATGCACAATATGTACAATATCTGAATGCTGCAAAGTATAATACTGATGATACAAAAAGGTCAAAATCAATGTCATCTCTTAATTGACCTATAAATTTACAATAATAGCAATCAAATCCCAACAGTTCCTTAAGATAGTAACACCAAAATATTTTTAAAAATTATTAAACTTCAGGGGCTGGAGTGATAGCACAGCGGGTAGGGCATTTTCCTTGCACACGGCTGACCCGGGTTCGATTCCCAGCATCCCATATGGTCCCCCGGGCACTGCCGGGGGTAACTCCTGAGTGCACGAGACAGGAATAACCCCTGTGCATTGCTGGGTGTGACCCAAAAAAACAAAAAAACAAAAAAATTAAGCTTCAAATCTTAAACCTTCTCCTTTCATTATAATAATAATAACTATTATTATGGGGGGAGGGGTATTGAGACACATGTGGCAGTGCTAAGGGGCCATAAATTTATCTAGCTGAGGTGGACAGCATGCAAGCAACCATGCCTGACCTCCTGTACTGTCTCTCAAATCCTGTAACTTCTTATAGGTGAAGAATTGGTTACTGACTGAGAAGAGAGATATCAATAAACACCTAGGTGGTAAGAAATTGGTAATCAAAACTTAATAAGGAATCTCAAAACTGAAAAAAAGAAAAAGGGGGCTGGAGCGATAGCACAGTGGACAGGGCATTGGC